AATGTCATTGATTTTCTACTAAGGCATGCCGTTTGTGTTTGCAAACATGATCTTTCACTATCAGCATTCACACTGAATGCAGTATTTGATAAAACGTCACTGTAAGCTTGAAAGGCCTTTATCGCTGTCTGAATGGTAGGGACATCCAGCTGCTCAAAATGCTACACAGTATGCATCAAGCTGATCGATTAGAGTGATGGCAGGTAGGATGGGGGGGGGGGGGATGGAGGGAGGTCCATGGTCGCATGGAATTTCCCGTCCTTTCCAAGTAACCCTACTACCGTAACCCTTAATGTCCGAAGTAATGAATGCCTCAAGCATTCATTTGGTTTCCTTGGCCCTATTACCTTATACAACCGCAAATTATAGTTTGGCATCTTGCTAACAATTTATCAGGGCTTGCGCACCAAGTGGCATCGGCAGAATGCTGAGGTGCTTCGCCCCCGGTGCAATCATCGACAAGAGGTTGGTAGACTGACCAGTTTGTATGGACATGCTATTAACCACGCCGATCTTTGGACAGGCTGTTGGACGTGTCCTAAAACTTTTGATTGCAAAAAGGAAAGAGGTGGTGAGTAAGGCTTCGTCGATAGGTCCGTTATCAACGTCAGTGATAAGCCCGGTGAGTCAATAAGTCAGTCTGTTGCATGGACGTACGCCATCTTATGTTATCCACGTTGATTTCATGTGGGCTAGTTCGTCATCAGGATCATGGAGTGTAAATAGACAAGCGTAAAGATAAGTTTGACTTAAAGGCGTAAAATTGCGCATTGTTAAATGTTATGTTCTGCTAGACGCGGCGATGAGCTCATCCCTTGCCGCCCGAAAGTTTCATTTAAAGCTGAATCGGCCAAATCCCTTAAAAGGCGAAAAAGTGCAGTTGATCAAACAACACATTGGTCACGGGGTTCAACATGAAGCTTAAACTTCCCTGTAACAATGGCCTGAAAAAACGCAAGGGGATGTGAGGACAATGACGCTGCTCCAGTTCATGGCGCCATGCATATATCCGAATTTCACCGAGCGTGCCCGCTTCCCAGGCCGCGGGCGATACAGTTTCACAAAAAAGTTAGTAAATTGACAACTTACAAGCATCGCCTGTCCACGAACTCGTGGGCTGCAGCGCAAAAAAGCTTACCAAAACGTATGTATAAACATGGACGTTTATTGCAGCGCAAACATGCTGGTCGATGCCGAAGCCTACCTTCGGTAGAGCGCTGAAGTTACGCCGGCCGGATTCGTAATGTTGAAAAACGTGTGACGGTGGATTCGCCTCCCAGGATAAGAGTTCGCATGTGGGTCGTCAAAGGGGCCCATTTGGCCATTGGCTTGATAATATAAGCCTGGTCACAGGGCGGCCGAGAGTCTTGCGGTTGCGTGGTGCGATAAAGGTCCTTTCGTGCTCTTGGGGTAAGAGCCCGAACCATACCGGGATCGCTGAGCTCACATTATAATAATGGTGTAGTGAATACTAGCAATGGTGTTCGACACACATCTGCGATTCAAAATCCGTCCAGCGAAACTTTCGTTTTCCGCATTGTTTCTCATTTTGTAGCTGAACTAGACCGATAATTTAACTATCGATGCCGCGACCAGACAAAACGACGTTCCGTTACCCGATTCTGTTTTTTTGTGAGACATTACAACAGGAACATTCGTGTTTCAAATAAAACAATGTGAGTGTCGTAACCCACTATGAGTAGTACACCAAATCTCACTTGGCATAAAATAGTTTCTCCGAGACTGGCGAGGCAGTGGTGTCAATATCATGGTCAGGTTGCGGAGAACAGCGTCTGGGCTTGCGCTTGACGGACAAAAAAAGAAGGTGCACCTCAATATCTTTCGGTACCCGTCATTTGAGGAAGATATTTTGAGGCTGCGGTGTTATGTTGCCCTGCTGTACCCTCCACGACAACACCACTGCGCCAAATGATCAAGAGTAGTCTTTGCATGTCGGCAAACTTTTCCCCACGCTTTTGCAATATTCAAGGTAAAAATATTGGGGACCCAAGCCAACATTGGGGCCGAACTCAACATTGCTCGGGCAAGGACTTTTAAAATAGGGAGCAACTCGACGCCGGTAAGGATTGCACGAATTTAGAACGACAGGGGAGAAATAACGACTGCTATTGACCCTACAGCTGGGTTCGTTGCTGCAAATTGATTCACCGTCGCTTAAAGGCGAGGCTGACGTAACCTAATGCCACGTGAAGTCGACTGCTGATGTACTGTATCGTAGCCTAGCGTTGAATTTAAAAGCACATTCTGCACACTGAGCTTGACAATGTCCACATGCTGTTGAATGGTCGCACGCCGATGTCCTCTTCTATTGTTTGCATTGAACGTTGTTGGCGTTGGAATATGCTACCTTTCGATGGACGTCAAAATGATGTGTTTATGATCTGATAAGAAAACACTGGGTATTTAATTACTCAAACACGGTCTGTGTTGGATGTTTTCTTATGCATCTTGGGGATCAAGTGATATTGTGCAGTCAGCTACGTACAGCTGCCCGTTTAAAGAACTTCGCTTCAGTCCCGCCAGAACTCCCCAGACTGCATACGTAATTTTTGGTGCTTGATTTTGTATGCAAAGCGGTGGGTCTGGGCAGAGTTCTATTCCCAAGCTCGTCTCTGAAGGACTGCAGGCAGACGAATCTGTTTGTTTGGCAGAGGACTGCCACATTAGGGATGAAGCAGCAAAACACCATAGCTGAGCGAGCTACATATATTTGGGGGAATCTTGGGTTAAGATCGCTGCGCGGTGCGACTTCTGTCGTTAGATGATACCGAGTTTTGCCGGAAGACCCAACTGCTGCGTTGCTTATGCTTAGCGCGACGCCTTTTTAATCATTGTTCGTCATTGTGCGCAGCGTGCTCAGCAGAAATGTAAGAGCCCCAGAAGAGCGGAAGGGGAGCGAGAAGCCCCTTTTCAAGTCACTTTACCAACGCATCATCAATGAAATTAAATGCAAACTTACATACTATATGTCATCGCAAGTATGTGTTAGGTTGAGAAGCCGAATGGCAGGGTTGAAGACCTGATTGTTGCCTGCAATCCGCCATTGTGCAAGAGCTTACGAACCTGACACCAGAGGTAGCACCGGGGCATAGCTTGCACACCATGGATGTATGTGAATGTGGACTGTAATGGTGTGCGTAACACATTCGTAAAATCACGGATAGGATTACTGTACAGACCATCGTCCTCGTCTGGTGTGTTAGCATGCACGCAACGTTTCGGCCATTTAACTTTACGGCTGTTGTCAAGTGTTGTGGAGTTCTGAGCACAGCTGGGTGGTGTCTTGCTCTCAGTCATTTACTCGTCACAACCCGAATTATCTTCGTAGCACTGCTGTGATTCGAACCAGGTTCTTCTGACCATTAGTCCAGTCCTCTGTCCACTGCGCCCTTCCCGGCCGAGGGGAGTGTTTTACATTCATAGGGGGTTTTGAACTGAAATAGCCATCTTGCAGACCTTTCTGCGCTATTCACAATCCTGCCCTTTTTAATACCTAAGCCCCTCTAGTTTCTGAGATATGCGCTCGCGAAAATTTGGGGAGTATTTCGGGTGGAGTATTTCAGTCACCCTGACATTCATTGCATCATAATAACGTCATTCAAATCCTGCCAGTCCATAATCCATGTGGCGATCAAGGCTAAGAAAAATATGATTGTCGGAGTGTTCATAACTGGCGTTCGTGAGCATGACTTCCAGAAATAACTGCCGTCAATTGGCTCTCAATCAATGCTGTGCAAGATACGATGACATATACAAGTACGAAATACGATGACAATCAAACTATGGCACATTGGGAGGCATATTTGTTAAACAGAGAATTGTGTTGTCTAAAGCAGTCTTTTCCATTTAAAACGCATACCAGTAGTTATAAGTGAGCTTGTTTCATCATGTCTGATGGTCGCTTTAATGTCTTCAAATCTGGAGCATTCCCTTTAACGTAGAGTCGCTACGAGTGTCATTGGGCTCAAATTCAGAAGACTTTGGTTCAGATCTGAGCAGCATCAAACTGGTAGTTCAGTGTGTAACGCGTAGATGGCTGCACACCAAACATCATCCAGTCTTGTTCAGGACTCAGTAACACCTGACGACGGCCGGAGAGTTAACTGGCCAAAACGTTGTGTACACACCAACGCGCCAAACGAGGAACGATGGCCCGGACAATTAGTCCATCTGTGATACTAATGTCTGGTCTCAATCCTTTCGTAAAACAATAATATTTTGAACAAGGGTATACAAATCCTGCAAAATATGAAAAGTAATTGCATTATACGCAACAAAAAAACCATACCCATCTCCATCCCCCACTAACCTTTTCATGATTTATGACAACATTTTTACGGAATCCGCCTGATAATCCTCTTAATTTTTCAACACTGTCGGGCGCATCTATCGCTCGCCAGGTGCATCCCATGTTCCAGCGCTATTGAGTGAAGCCCGGCCACCACCCCTGCCCGATGTACCGCTGTCTCGGTGGATGCACTGTGTCTCCGTGTCTGTGTACCGCTGCCTCGGTGAACATACTGTGTTTCCGTGTCCCTGCACTGCTGTCTCGATGGGCGCGGCGTCGCTGTATCTAATCTGGGCACCAACCGAAACGGTGTTAGAGGCATTCAGCATGATGCAGCCGTTCCACCTACCTTGAAAACAACACTTTGAAGGCAACTATTGTAACACTATCATGCCATTACGTCACTGATCTTCGGCTCAAGCCTGGATCGGGCCTCCACAACCCCAGCCCCACGCGCAGAGCCCGGCCCTCTCCCCTGGTTGGTGGCGCCCCCTGGTGGACCAGAAGGGCCGGACGGTGAGGCGCCGAGCCAGCGGCCGTGTCCAGGGAGCGAGTCGAGCCGCGCGGGGAGCACCGGCCACGACGCCGCGCAAGCGGGACTCATCGATACTGGCCGGCCGGCGACGGTGGCGCCCCTGGCGGCGGCGGCCGAGGCCGCAGTGGGACGCGCGGCCCGGCGAGCGGACGGCCTGCCCGCGGCGCACCGCTGGCATGGTGAGCGGCCACGGCGCCTGACGCCGCGCCGAGCACCGCGCGAGCGAGAAGCCGGCTGACGCACCCGACACGGCTGTATGATTGCTGGATCGTTCAGAACCTTCTGGGACCGATCGTTGAGGTCAGTATGTGACGGGCGATGTTCCAATCGCGGCATTAAATCGCTCCTGGCGGCACGATTGGTGCGCCGGAACGGCGAGTGGGCTTGCTTGTCCGAACCAAAGTGATAGGATGAATATGCCTATGCTCCTGAGCTTAGATTTCAAATGAAATTTTTGTGGTGCACATTGGTGCTTTATGACCTGACTTTGAAAGCCAGTTATCCTACGTCAGATTCAACTGCAGTTAGGGAATTCCTCAAGCAAATAGAGATAAAATGCCCAAATATGCCACCCATCCTATCATAACACTGCGTTGCCTCAGGCGTGGGAGCAGTCATGGTCCGGGAGAGGGGGAGGGGCTTTAGAGGGCTCCAGCCTCCAAATATTTTTCGGAAAGTATAGCATCAGGCTTACGGCGGTGCATGGCACAAATCAACAGTAAGTACCTCTGAACTCTCCCCCTCCCCTTCTCCAATCCCCACAGACGGCCTTGCTATTGTTCGGTGCCCACAAACATTGTTAATTATGTCACTAAGACAAGATTGAGCCTGAATATTTTGATGGGGTGGGCTTTTGGGAAAGGAGTTCACGCTTGGCAGTGGTTGTCGTGTGAACCTTGTGGAACCTTGTTGTCGTGGAGCCAGTGGAACCTTGGCTCCGCCGTCCGGTCGTGACATTCCAGTCAAATTGCACCTTTGTGTGGGAAAATTTTGACATACCGCAATACTCGGCACGGGGTACTGGGGCCCTGACCTCATCTGAACTTGAGCTGCCGCTGCCGCCGATGGCAGGTGATTCCAGTCAGGGACAAACAGCGAGCGATGAAGCGATTCGACCCCCCCCCCCCCCCATTAGAGTGAGATAGGGGGCGGGCGATCAAACCGATTGAACTAGAGGGTAGACACCGAACCTCGGAGACAAACTGAGGCACGGGGCTGACACAAGTAACACCAAAGCTTGGATATGTATATCAGGGCCGTCAGATATGTTTGCTTGGATGCGTGTTACGCGCATGCCCAGGCAAAGTTCTGTTTTTATCAGGCGCTTGACACATTGATATTATATAGAAAAACAGCATATTTTCTGAAGTGAGTTAAGTTTGATTCCTCTTTGTCCATGGCCAACGGGCGTTGATATGGAGGACAGCGGCAACGGAAGCCCTTCCAAGTTGAGGGAGGTCATAGCCGTTTTTGGTCATTTCTTTCCAGTCACAGGGCCACCATTAAATTTCTTAGAAGTGGGGAGCCCCCTCCGCTCCCCCATTACACTGCGTTTGGGGTTAGCTCGCGTGGTTTTTAATTGCCTCAACCTCGAGAACAGTTTGTGAGCGATGTAAATGCTGCTTGTTTTTACGACAAACTTTACGTACTGAAGTCTTTAGGGGCAATGGAAGGGAGCAACATTGGTTTGTTGATCATCTGAAGATCTGTTGTTTATGAATGACGCTGCAAATACTTAATAGCATGATGGCCACTTAACAAAGAAGGAACGACAGCATGGTCTTCACAACACCTTTGGGTGTGTTGAAAGCTGTTATCTCTGGCCGACTCAGAATGATGCGCAGCTCTCCAATTCGATGCTGACTGTGCTCTGATAAAAACACGGACGATGCTAGGAGCCTGACGGACCGTGGCCAGTCATCAGGGCCACGGCCCGTGCACCACAGTTCACGGACCGAAGCTAAAGACCACGCTATGTGCCTCAGACAGTCCAACAGATCCCACCACCCCTCTGTCGGGCCCACAGTCACGTCCAGGCCGTCCCACGTGTCTGGGACAGCCAGTCAAGGCTCGTGCTACCCAGCGCCTGTCCTAGAATCACACCTTGTCGTCTCATGTGTCTTTGTAAGAACGGCGCTATCAGAACATTTAAGAGGAACCAAATATCTGCAGGTACCCACCTGCAATATTCTTACTGTGTCCTCAGTATGCAATCTGTAGTCCCAGCCTACTTTTCCACAAGGCCTGTTGACACTCCAGGGCTTGGCGAACACAGTATATAAAAGTACGTGCCTACGTCTAGCCCTTTCGTGTTCGTAAACCCAGATTTTCCGGTGCACGAATGACATTGAAGCAGTGCCGCTCTCAGAGCGAAATGCAGATGTTGGCCGCGTCTCTGGCTGCGTTATAAATATCTATTTTCTCAGACGTGCCCTATTTTCCCAATAACTCGCTGTGTTCAACGTACTCCGCTAGCTCGCAGCGAAACATTACATTGGCGGAGATGGAACGATTCCGGTGTACAAAACATTCAAATCCAACGTCTGATAAAATCCGACCATGCACATCACGTTGAAAAGAGGCAAAGTTCTGGGGCAGTGGTCTAGAAATACCACAGTCTCAGAGGAGTGTGAAGTGGTGCATTTGGCGGCATACAACCGATGGAATATTCCAATCTTCAGATAGTGTGCCAAGCTCCGAAGTGAGATTTTGAATGCCACCACATTTCTTGTCATTGTTCTGTTCGCCTTGCGCACCAGCCTGCGGAGAAAGCAATTCTTCGTAATTGTCCTCGTCGCATTCTCTAACAGGACTACTTTCCACCACGTCCCAGCAATGCACCCACCGCGTATGCGTCCCCTGCCAGTTTCCCAGCACGCGATCCATCCAAAGCATTCCCTGGCTATGACTATTCTACTCTCACCGTGGAAACAAAAGCTGCAGCGTCCATTGGTGGTGACCTTTCCTACCCAGCAACTCGCCCACCGTATTCCCATACCCACTTTTTAGCACCCAGCAATCCCCCCTCAGTATCCTCTGGCGGCGGTCTTTTGCATCAGCAATTTACCCACCGTATTCCCTGGCGGCGGCGATCTTTCTCGCCCAGCGAGCCACCCACCGTATCCCCCGGCGGCGAACTTTCTCGCCCAGCGAGCCACCCACCGTATCCCCCGGCGGCGATCTTTCTCGCCCAGCGAGCCACCTACCGTATCCCCCGACGGCGAACTTTCTCGCCCAGCGAGCCACCTACCGTATCCCCCGATGGCGAACTTTCTCGCCCAGCGAGCCACCTACCGTATCCCCCGACGGCGAACTTTCTCGCCCAGCGAGCCACCTACCGTATCCCCCGGCGGCGATCTTTCTCGCCCAGCGAGCCACCTACCGTATCCCCCGACGGCGAACTTTCTCGCCCAGCGAGCCACCTACCGTATCCCCCGATGGCGAACTTTCTCGCCCAGCGAGCCACCTACCGTATCCCCCGACGGCGAACTTTCTCGCCCAGCGAGCCACCTACCGTATCCCCCGGCGGCGAACTTTCTAGCCCAGCGAGCCACCCACCGTATCCCCCGGCGGCGATCTTTCTCGCCCAGAGATCCACCCACCGTATTTCCTGGCGACGACCATTTCCGCCCAACGATCGGTCACTGTATCCCCTGGGGCATCCAACCAACAAATCTCAAATTTGCATCGTGTTAAAAATATGAAAATTAATGGTGTGGTAGTCTTAGGTTCTAAAGCCAGCGATGCGAATCCTTAAGATCGTTAGGCAACAACCGTTGAATTAAACCCTCTGAAATTTTCGTTAAGTCACGCTGTAAACCTATCTTTGGTAGTCCATGTACTGTTGCCAAATGATCCGAATAAAAAACCTATGACCTAAAAAAATTAAAAAAACATCACTGATGAACTCATTTGATGTATAATAATTTTGGCATTTTCAACTTGTTCATATTTAGTTGAATTCTGGCTGGACAGAGATATCTAGACGCGGCAAACAAAACGGCACCTGATTAAATGAATGATTTTGAATAAGAGATCTGGCGCTATGTTTGTGATCCGTGGTCAACGTCCAGTTCAAGGCAGAACTCAAATGCAGAAAGCCGTGCAATCCTTGCACTTATCTCCAATAATCACCACGTAAGCACGGCATGCACGATAAAATCAACTGATGATTTCATGATTGTCGCACAGTGAGTTCAACACTGTTCTATTTCTCTTGCATAGATAAGACGATAGTGATAGCCTTATTCTTCGAAGAAAAACCATGGGAAGGGAGGTATAGATGAGTTGATATTTCGGTAACGTGCTCTTATCGAAGCAATAACAGAAGTCCGTTAAGCTTGAATAAAGGAATGTTGCCGAAATATCGACCCATCTATATATCTATTCCCCAGGTTTTTCTCCGAGGAATAAGGCTATTACTACTGACTTATGTACGTGCATAATGTTCGTCGCAAATGCACTGGACAGCTTATTAGTTCTGTCACCCTCAAAAGGGCCGGTGGTTTCACACAGTTTTTTTTTCACGCAGTCATTCGACGCAGTATCAATCAGTGGCATGGCATCTGTGGCTTGGCAAACTGTGCCACATACCAGGAAGGTCGGAAGACGCTGTTCTTCCACCAAATCCTAATGACCGTGTCATGGTGCCATTTCCTTTAAAAGATAATCTTAAGCATTATTAAGTTGCTTTACATACCAAACGGAAATGTGTCTGAGGCAATAATTGTGCTCACTGATCGGTTCGTGAGGGTCCTCAATGTAAAGCGTACGAGACAGTTTCACAGATTCTTTTCCGGGATACTAACGACCACACTCATCCACCACCTGTCCACAGGCCAGGGACGGGAGGTTAAAGGATTATCAAAGTGTCACCCAATGACTCCCCGGGAGGTATCGTTGGTGGCCAACTTTCCACATAGTGCCCAGACGCAAACATAAATGGTATGCAGCTGGCGAATTTGTCCGACATTTACTGAGCCCGGCTATCGACCGTCGGAATCTGTTTGTCCAGAGGACGCCTTCGGTCACCTGGAGCCGATACCATATTGGCAAAGTGAATTATCTGAACTGCGAGCTGCAGTGCTTTGCGTGACGTTAATTATTGAATGTAGCAGAGGGTCTGCTGTCTGCAGTTCAGGCATATGCTGGTTTAGTGACGCTTACGCTATGGTGATATTGGGTTTTTACAACAGAGGTACAACATCCACCATGGGAAAATATGTTGAATTCAGAAATACATTTTGTGTAATCTAGCTTGACTTTATTTTTGGGACCCACAGGAACAAAGCAATGTTTGGTTCAATTGAAGTCGTTTAGGAAGTGATCAATTGGTAAAATTGTTCACATTGCGCTCAGTTAGCATTACGGGAGCAGATCACGTCATTCCTGCAATTGGCGGTTCCAGTGCAAAAGTCTGTCACGTAGTTCAATCGGTGAAAGCTCCTGTCTCCCAACGCTTCTGTGATGGGGTAGGCGGGCTCGAGTCGTTTTGATGCTCAATATTTGTCCCTGACCGAAATGGTCCGAGACCAATGGCAGCGGCCGCTCAAAGTCAGGTGGGTCAGCTAGGGGGCAGATCGTGTCAGGCACTGCGGCACGGTTAACATTCGCAATCAAATTCTGCCGCCGAACTGGAATGCCGCGATAAAATGGTTGGGCAAGGGCTCACACAAAGCTCGCTCCAGGGCGTGAAGTAGAATACCCAAATCCATCCAAGCACGATGTTGGAATCAAATTGACGAGAACAATACCGAACCCATGCATTTTCTGCACTTGGCCTGAGAAAGTACTTTAACCCTTTAACCTCTACCTCGAATAATAAATATTGTGTTGAATTTCGAGCTCAGAATGACCCATCCAATCGAATGTCATTAACGGCATCTCGATATTTTATGAGCCAGGTCGAGAGTACTCTTTCCAACATCATTTACCCTGGTTTTTGCGAAGTTTGAAAAGGTCCCTCATAGGTGACATTGGTCTTCGTTTTCTTGCGTTCGATAACGTACAAAAATAAGTTGGGCTTGAGTTAAGACCACAAGTTGAGAAATGTCACGTGTCAAAGGTCATGTAAGAAACGGACACGAAGTGACGAGATCAAAAGTAAAAAAAGAAAAAACACAAATAAGTTAAAATCGACAAAAGTTTTCAGCGCCATAGTGAGCTCATCGATATGTGAGTTTTACAGCGTGGCCTCTCTAAAATCATCTAGACTTGAACTCGAAGACGCTGTTCGCAGGGCTCAAAACTTCCCGAAGGCATCTTTTCGGTCTCATGAAATACCCTACGGCCCTGTGGACTAAATTACTGCCCCACAAACTTTCAAAATTTTTAAGACAGATATCAGTTGTGGGTTGAGTTGCCGTGAAATGTCTCTCTCTACCGGCCACCTTTCCTACCCACCGATCCACCCACCACGTTCCTTCCTTTGCGGTTACCTTTCTCACGCAGCGACCCTCTCATCGCGTCCCATGTGTGTCGACCTTTTCCACACTGCGATTTACCCACCGCGAACCCATGGAGTGACCTTTCCTTCCATGCCATCCACGTAAGGCGTGTGCTGGCGGAGGCGCTTCCTGTTCCGGGGAGCTGGCGCATCGATCGGCTGAGCGACGGCGGCGCTCGGAGCTCAACACTGCCCGCCGGTCAGCCAGGCCGCCGCCGCTGCACTCTCGGGGACGGCGGCGCTCGGCGCTCAACAGTGCCCGCCGGTCAGCCAGGCCGCCGCCGCTGCACTCTCGGGGACGGCGGCGCTCGGCGCTCAACAGTGCCCGCCGGTCAGCCAGGCCGGCGCCGCTGCACTCTCGGGGACGGCGGCACTCGGCGCTCAACAGTGCCCGCCGGTCAGCCAGGCCGCCGCCGCTGCACTCTCGGGGACGGCGGCGCTCGACGCTCAACAATGCCCGCCAGTCAGCCAGGCCGCCGCCGCTGCACTCTCGGGGAACGCCAGCAGCCCCAGTCCGGTGCCGCCCCGGCGACGGCGGCGCTCGGCGCTCAACAGTGCCCGCCGGTCAGCCAGGCCGCCGCCGCTGCACTCTCGGGGAACGCCAGCAGCCCCAGTCCGGTGCCGCCCCGGCGACGGCGGCGCTCGGCGCTCAACAGTGCCCGCCGGTCAGCCAGGCCGCCGCCGCTGCACTCTCGGGGAACGCCAGCAGCCCCAGTCCGGTGCCGCCCCGGCGCCGTCGGGCAGCAGCGGCGCGCTGTCGGTGCCACGCAGCTGCTGCACGGAGAGATGGCCGCGTGCGGGCGGGAAACCGGGTGGGAGCCACCGGGATGCTAGTCGGGAGCGGGGTGGGAGCCATCCCGGAAGATGGGCGGGAGGCGGACGGAGATGAGCGGAGCCGGGGGCGGGACGGATGGAGATGAGCGGAGCCGGGGGCGTGACCGATGGAGATGAGCGGAGCGGGGGGCGGAACCGATGGAGATGAGCGGAGCGGGGGGCGGGACCGATGGAGATGAGCGGGCCGGCAGGGAGCCGGCAGGGAGCGGAGGGGTGACGTTCCGACTCGTTACCCATGCTGCAGCAGCATAACCCCGGCGTGCATACATACGCACTCCTGACGAACCTAGGCGTCTCTGGTGAGCCCTCCCGGTTCGGGGTGCCCCTCGACCCTTAGAGGCATGACAGTGGGAGGGGGAGGGCGAGGAACACCGAGTGGGGAAGGAGGGGAGGGACGGACCAAGCTGTCAATAACGCCGGGCGGTCACGCCCCCGCTGGCACCGCGCCCGAAATGGCAGCGATTATTTGTGACGCATAGGAGGCAGGGCTTCTAGGGTCTGACTGATCTGCATAATCGGGATGGCGCGAGGGACGCTGGTGAGCCGAATATGAGGCCGAAACATCCTCTTTCTTTTTCAGAGGAAAGAGGGCACAACCTGACGGAGCCGAGAAATAATAAATCTGAGGCATACACTGGCAGGCTTTCAGGACGTTGACATTTAGCCAGCCGACCATTTGGATGGTGCGGAAGGTGCCACACAATTAATGATTTTCAGGAAACGGTCAGGTCTTCGTTCCTTAGAACTGGTTTCGGAATAAACCCTAAACGCATACCAGCCAAGAAACACGGGCTCAAAAAGCGCTGATGATTCTTGTGACCAAAAGGTACCCACATTTAGATAGACATGTATATTAAACGTGTGTGGGAAAGTCTTTTTTGATAGGAGACCCCAAAAGTCAAGGCTTAATTTTTGGAGCAAGACAGTGACATGGTCAGGATTTTACTCAGGAGAGAGCTAAATCGGGACATCGAGTTAAATCCCTGTGAACAAATCTAACAAATCCAACAAATCCATGTAAATCCTTGTGAGCAAAAAGTCTATCGTAAATTCTGTGCAACAGTGTGGCAGTAAATTTAGTCGCTCCCGATTTTGCTGAACGTCAGGTTTTGCTGGGAACAGGATTTTAAGTGCAGTTCCTGGTCACCGTAGTTGTGTTGGAGGCTGTCTGCAAAGCGCCCGAACTCGCCAGATGGACGAGAACTCTCCTGAGTCGGCGCCGTTGACTCTCCTGCATCGGCCGCGGATGCAGCTCCGCTTGCTAGTGAGACTGTTCTCTGCAGCGGGTGAGATGTCCGGAAAATGGTCGCCACCATACGCCCCACCATTCACCGGGAGGCTGTCAACCGAACGATAAATAACACTTCCATGTCACGAGCCAGCGGATGACAAAACATGTATTACAGCGCTCCTCACATGTGAGTGCATGCCTTGCCCCAAATGAGCACCAGAGTGATGTTTGACACAGGCCTTTAGAAACCTGTCATTGTTTCCGAATAGGGTCAGTAGCGCTGGGCCCGTACATTGCGACCTTTCGATGTCTCTTTTTGGGGTTCAGGCTCATTCAGCCAGGGTCGGCAACCAACTGTCGACAAGCCTGCTCAGGCTGCTAATTTTGTCGGTGCTCCTTGCCCCCCCCCCCCCCCCAGGTAGGGATACTTGCCCTGATGCATGCGAGCCCCCCCCCAGGCAGGGGTTCTTGCCCTGATGCATGCAGGCCCCCCCCAGGCAGGGGCTCTTGCTCTGATGCATGCGAGCCCCCCCAGGCAGGGGTTCTTGCCCTGATGCATGCGAGCCCCCCCCCCCAGGCAGGGGTTCTTGCCCTGATGCATGCGAGCCCCCCCCCCCCAGGCAGGGATTCTTGCCCTGATGCATGCGATCCCGAATCGTGATGCGGAACTTCGTGAAAAACAAAGCTGAGTCTGACGACATGTGCTTCGTTTCAGAGGCTGAGGCGGGCAGGCGCCTGATGTTCGGCTCTAATTGTCACAACTAGCCATGGTGAGTCACTCCAACGGCTGCGTGCTGCCGTCTCTGGACAAGCTCTGCTCGTCCACTGCGCTGTTTGTGCTGCCGTCCCCGGACAGGCGCTGCTGTGTTGGAAGACTGGCCATTGATAGAGACACTCAACGCATGCCCTTGGTCTAGGGTGCTTTTAAAAACACTTCCAAGATGTATTTTCTTCCCAGCGTCAGGGCAATCATTGCACTTGGCGACAAAGCGTGTGTGAATGGTTCGTTGGCCCCAGTCCTCGGGAAATTAACGGTACAAATTCGCGTGGATCGACTAAGTTTTATCAAGTTTGGAAGTTTCAGAGCATGCAAGATTCTACTTGAACTTCAACGTTTCGATGGAGGTCGGTCTTGGAAGAGAGTGTTTCACACTTGTGTGGGATTTGAACTGAAATAGCCATACTGAATATCATTCGGTGCAGCTCACAGCTCTGCCGCTCTTAAGGCCTAGAACCCTCTAGGTTCTGGGCAACACGCCCGCGAAGATGTGCAAACTATTTCGCGCAAACTATTTTAAAGACATTCAGGCATGCACGACGCCCGAGAAACCTCGTGTTCAAATCTTGCCAACCCACCGGCCATGCGGCGTTCAAGTCCTAGGAGGGTATAATTGTCAAATTGTTCATATTTGGCATTCGTAAGCACAATTTACAAATATAACGGACGTGAATTGGCCCTTAATCAATGATGTGTAGGCTGTGAAAGTTTCAGTGACGAATCTCCTTTTTGTTACACGATACCAGAAATTAGGCATATGTGCCAGTTATTACGGAAGTAAAGCTTGTCGAACGGCAAGAATCGCGCCATAACCGAACAGGTGAATACAATTAAACGCCTTAAAATCACGGACAAATGTGCAGAACACTAGGAGAAAGGGATAAAGCACGAGCACACAACAATGCTTGATTGAGCAAACACCTCCAGCATCACCACAGCCACCTCTCGGGACATTGAAGTGCTACAAGTAAGTGCTGGGGTGACAATATTGCACGGCTAGTTTGACAGCACCTCAGCGTCATACAAACGTTCCATGACACAGCCAAACAATGATGTATTGAGGAACATAGTTATCAAACAGAGAAATTTTGTTGTCTACAGCAGTACTTTTCTCTCAAAATATACCAACAGCTATAAGTCAGCGTATTTCATCTTATCTGATGTTTGCTTCAATGTCTTCAAATGTGGCTCATCCGCTTAAGGAAGCCAGCTGAGAAAGACCTAGATGAAGCTTCTCGATGGAAACCCCCGAAAAGGCTCCCTCATAAACAAACCTTCCTTGACGAGGCTTCGTGCCGAAATCCCATGAGCATGTGGAATCCTTGAGAAGGCGTTACGAAGAAGCTCCCGAAAAATCCCCTGGGAAGGTCCCGGATGAAGACCTGATAAGTGACTAAGGAACCATCGCTGAGCAGGACGTCTCATCAAGTCCGGTGGCCTCCGCCGGCAGCTGCACACCGGCACCGTCAAGGTCAGCATCGGCAAGGCGTCACCGTGGCCGATGAAGCTGACGCTCAACATCGACACAGTCACGCTGCAGAAGGAGCTGGACGACGACGGCGAGAACGACGTCGACTCTCAGGTAACTCTCCGGCGCCCGTGTGCGCAGCACTCTGCCGGCGGATCAGAAAACACACCGCTCAGCCGCCTGTCCAACATATCTCCTGTGCCCAAAGATCTGCCGCCTTTGCAGGCGTCCTCGGACACGCTCCAGGGTGGTGGGACAGGAAAAGGGTACGACAAAACGATGCTGCTGCAGAAAACACTCATGATTATGTATGCATGTCTTGGTTGAAAACACCCATATTTACGTGAATAATGGATGAGGAAGTATTCATGCATGGTTTCCTGAATAACTGACGCACGTGTACGGGTGGCCCTAACGCACACACGCACACGCGCGCACACACACACACACACACACACACACACACACGCACACACACACACACACACACACACACACACACACACACACACACACACACACACACACACACACACACACACACACACACACACACACACACACACACACACACACACACACACACACACACACGCACACACATACATACAAGAAGATCCGTTGAGGCGCACGTACTCCTACACATTCCTTGCGTGTCTGAGGCATAACGCCTGAATGTAAAAATGGGGGATTGTGTCGATGACTTTATTTTCCCATTCACTATCAGATCTGCACATTTCGCAACAGACACCGCTGGCTTATGTTAGATGCCCAACAGCACTGTGCTCACCCCCTCTGTTCCATGTTCCAGTTTGCAGTGTTCCGTTTTCTTTATGCGGTGTCGTGACGGGGTCATCCCATGTGTACTGGTGGACCACTGCGCCGGGTCTCCTCTTCCCAACACCCAAGTCCGGCTCGAATGGTCCGCCGCGTCCTGAAAGTTGGCTCCATTTCGTGAAGCCCAGATGCGGTTTTCCAGCGGAAGTTCTTGGGCACTGGGCCATTCTATATTAGGCACCTGGTGTTAGACGACTTAGCGCTCTGGCTCCCAGCCGTTGGAGTTGTATCGGCCTACCCGAACAAGCCAAATCCTACGTCATCACTAATTGCCACGTGCACATCGGCCCATCACAGGCCAGTTGATGAATGTCAGAGGACGGGAAGAGCATTAAACTCTCCGCTCCTTGTAATGCACAAGCCTTTTCTCCACGACTTACCGACGCGTCCGACAAGATATGAAATTTGAAATGAAACAACAATTTATAACGGAGGCTTGAATTTACGCTCTTGTCTATTAAAACGTGAGCTTGAATGACACCAAATGGCGCAATGGCGAGATCGCACACTGTGTAAATGTTCCGTGGACCCCACGACGACAGCCAACGTGCAGGGCTGCCCGGGCTGGTGACCACACGGTCTCATGCATTTATAGATGTACCTTTTCTGCGTTTTGTCCTGCAACGTTTTCGCTAAAATTAAGTATTGACACTTGCAGATTTTGTATCACCGGCTCTATAATAGAGTTAATCCGCCGCTTGGAGCCTACTGTGTCTCCCCTGTTCATTCTCATCGTTATGAAGTTGAAGGGCCTTTGTTTCCCTTTGCAGCCCCTCGTAACGCAAGCCACTTGTTCTAACCACCTGCATGGAAGGCACCATTTCATCTACCCGAGAACCCAGCTGCTTGAGATTGTTGTGTGACATCTGACACTCTCGCAGTATCCCTATCAGCACCAAGCAACGCAATTCAACCGCTGTTAGCAGCATCTGCGCGTTAACCTGCAGCGTCAATGCGTTAACCGGCAGCACCAGTGCGTTAACCGGCAGCATCAGTGCGGTAACCAGCAGCATCAGTGCGTTAACGGGCAGCATCAGTGCGTTAACCACCAGCATCAGTGCGTTGCGCAGCGTGACTTCTCGTGTTAACTGGCTAAGAGATTTTGAGTTTCGACTCCATTTTCCCCATTTGGCTTTATTTTAACCGACTCGACTGTGGGTGACCAGAGTTAGCTGACTTGACTGTGAGAGACTATCATGCATCTGACGCCGTGCGTCTATCCGGACTGCATCTTACCCCGCTTGACCCAGCCTCATCGGCTGACCTTATCTGACCGTCTGATGTCTCTAAACTTTTTATCCGATCTGACCGTCTGACGGTTTGGTCTGATATGTCTCCTGGTTCTCCCTGCACCACTGGCTCTCCAACCGTCTGACCCTCTGACAATCTGACCGTCCCGTCTGCCTCTGACCATCGGTCCTACCTGACCGTCTCGTATAATCTGGCTGTTCGATCCTAGCTGGCTGTCAGAAAATATCCAACCATCTAACCCTGTCCAATATTTTGCAATGATCTGAACGTCTAGTCTGTTCTGGACGTACGGCTTCATCTGACCATCGAAAGACATCCGAACGCCCGACGTTATCTGAATTGCCTGACTGCACCCTCACATTTGGCTAGCCTGCCGGTGTCCGGACTGACTGCACTTAGCCTGACTCCATGTTAACTCATCGCATTGGATATAACATGTCTAACCTAGCTGTATCTCTGTTTGACTCTCGCCTCACTGCTCCATATGCAGACGCCTTCAGCCTGACTGCAGCTGACCTGACTGCATCTGAACTGACCTTATCTGATCCCATCGTGCCTGCTGTGACTGAATCTAGCCTGCCCATTCTGGGCTAACTAGGCCATACGCAACTGTATCTGATTTAACTGTATGCAGTCAGGCTGTGCCGTGCCTGACCTGCCTGTTGCTGAACTGTTTGTAACTGAGCCTTGCGCGTGGCCTGGCCGGTGACCCGGCGGGATCGGCCGCCAGACCCGTGTTGTGCAGCTGGAGAAGGGCGCCTGCAGCGGGCTGGGCATCAGTATCAAGGGCGGCCGGGAGCATCATCTGCCAGTGCTCATATCACGCCTGCTCCGGGGGCAGCCGGCCGAGCAGAGCGGCCAGCTCTTCATCGGAGACGCCATCCTCAAAGGCAGGTGACGCGTGCTGTCGCTGCCGACGAGCGATCGACTGGCGACAGGCCAGCGGGCTCGCAGCGGAACACGAATGGCTGCTGTGGAGGTGTCCAGGGTCGGCAGAAAGAACAAAGGCATTTGCATTCCTCCTACTTTGGTGCTCGCTGCTTGACCTTTGTTAGAGCTGCCCTGTTATAATTAATGAGTACTCTTGAAACTCAGATCGGAAAACGTGTGGGAAGTGCTTATGGTGGGGAATATTTGATGCTATCGACACCTAAAACCTGATATTTTATCCAACGATTTGGTTTCTGTATGCCCCTTAATGTCAACACAACGCTTACGATGTGACTAGTTCATGTGATCTTTTGCTTTTTTAAAGGAAGGTGTAACCATTTTTAAAGGAAGGTATGGCCGAAAAGCTTGAAGAACTCTTACATGCTTCGGGTAATCTCGCTGAGAATGTCCACGACTTTTGCTGCTTAACAGGATGTTCCTGATCGTCTAACGCTTGCTTGCCGGACTTTAAGCTCTCGTAACTCCAATTGTGTTCAAAGGGCGGTGGTAAGTCATCAGCCTACACAAAACTTGCCCGAAATTACCCCTTTTAAAAGGCAGTTTACGTTGTACTCAGTTGTAAAGACAACTGTTGCTGTGTTTTTCAATCGTTCAGAGCACCGCTTTGAGCTTCTTCTGCGCCGAAAGATGGGAAATAGGTATAAAGGATTACTTACGTAATACCCCATTGTGTTGCTTCATGTGGATCAAATCAATTCCTGCGACGCAAACGGAATTGTTCGTGCCACCTTTCTCCCCGACCGAGAATGATTTCCGTCAGGATGTAACCGGTCGGATAATGCGCTCTCCGGCTCACTCTATTTCTTGAAAAAGATTGGTTACTCCATGCGTTTGTCTCCGTTCTAGGAAGATTATTTGATCATTTCGAGGAAGCCGCCGTTTGTAAACCAGGTTAGACCGCCTTGCGGTCTAGAAATGCAACCTAAAATACGATATTGTCACCTCCCGAGTCGGACGCAGCACTCTTTCTCCCAATCCCTTAACATACACAAAACTCACGGACATGGCAAACTTTGGAAACCTGGGTGGAACTACTAGCTAAGGAACGGTCTACCACTGCCGTAAGTAGAAAGGCTCGATGTATCATGGGAATGAGATGCATCTTTTCCTGTTTTCTTGCATACCGTCTTCCGTTTCAAGGCTGATCCGCCCGGAAGCTGACACCGTGTTGCCTACTACGAGAAACCGAGCCGACTATACCGGCAGGCGATCACCGCATTCCGATTTGGCGCAGCTGGTGAAGCCACACCTTGGCGTAGTGGGCTTACTATGAACATCAGCAGTCCACATCACCATAATGATTTATCATAGTCGAAACAGGATTACTGCTTCGCGCGGTAGTCCCTTTCTGAAATTGGTGGCGGGGGAGGGACATGGTCGGCCGAAAAAGTTGGCCCTACCTGCCCCAAAACTTGGTTTGTCCCCGGATGTTGGCTACTTGAATCTGCGTCACCTATATAAATGTGTGCTTTTAATCTTTCGTGTTTCGCAACATCTTTCAAGGATATGCTGTAGCTTTAAAATTGTTTTCGTTCGGAGGATTAGCCTCCCATTTCAAGTTGATGTCAGCTGCCTTTTCGTTAGTAGCTTAGAATGGGCCGTGATTCACAGAAAAAAAGCATCTGAAAAAAGTCTTAGAAAGCGGTCGCTGAAGACTACCATTATCACTGATCGCGTTATTTAACCACCTCGGCCACGACTATTTGACAAATACACTTGCGAATATACTTGGAAAACATTTCCTGACTTCTATCTGGGCTGCCCTGAACTTTTAAAGCCTGGAGGATATTACAATCAGTTGTTTTTTTATCTTTATCCACGCCTTATCGTTTGAAAAAAACTCGTCAAACATTTGCAGACTGCGTTAAATTTTGAAGGAGTTAGCATGACACAAAACATCAGGCGCTTTCAGAATGCTGTTTGATACCAAATTAACATGCCTCTAATAGTGATGTATTTAGGTACCTACTACCTAGTTGACCAATATTTATTATAACTGCCCTGGATCTATGTGCCCTGTAGCTCATATTCATACATGGGGGGGTTAAGAGCAGTATTGGGGGAGAGGGTTCAGCCCTCCGAAAGCATACGAAGTGACGCCCCTGCGGCCCCGTGTACCGTCGGTTCATGATGCGCCGGTCATGATGTCCTGTCCTCGCGTTCGGAATCCCATCCTGGCTCGGCGCACACGCCTCGACCTGACGTCACCGTGGTCTGTTAATGTGGTTGACTGCGCAGGCATGGCCGTGTGTGACCAAAATTCGTACCGTGGGGCGTACGTGTAACTGTTCTCAGAAACACACTAAATTGTGGGCGTCGATGGACAGATGTTGGCCGGGGGAGAGTGAACATAGCTGTATTGCAGTTTTTACATCACAAGAAGTCTGTGCGCGTCTTTGTTATAAAATATCGGGAGGAATTCTGAGGCAAGGTGTAAATAATGTACTTCATGTAAGAAAAAAAGGCTTTCGGCTCCTGATTTTTCAGCATGAGTAGTTCAAAGTTCTTACGGGAGTTAATGACATTCAAGATTCCAGGAGGTACTGGATAAACGACGTTGCAGTGTTGAGCAGTGATCATATTGATGGTAATCAATGTAATAGTACATGTACCGTCAACGTCAAGGTCAACATGTGTCGTCAATACTACATGTACCAGCACACCATATACATGCATCGTCAATATGAATAGCATGAAATATTTATGTCGAGCACCGTCAATATTGGGTACCTACTGCCTGTGCTAGTGCATTACCCTCCTTAATACCAGGACTTCCAGAACCGTCAACCCTAGAGCATGAGCACAGCTCGAAAAAATAAGCGTCGCCAATGTAATCGTTGTTGGCACTGCAACGTCGTTTAGCCATTACCTCGGTACCAAATCCTAGTATATTAAACGCCAACAGTTAACATTAAAACTTTGAGTTCATTGCGTAAAATACGACCAACTCTTACCTGTATCATAGCGTGAAACCGTGAGGAGGCATTGGTGGCGGTGGGTCACATCGGAAGTCTTCGTGTTGAGAGACAACTCACCATTTATACCAAAAGCCATCAGCAGACTCCTGAGGATGCCGCGGCTCCTGCAGGTGCAGGTGCTCCTCGGCAGGCAGCCTAAAGTAGACGAACGTGCCGCCCCGGCCGGAGTCCCACCTGAGTACCCGCACATGCCCGAGCAGGCGCAATGTGCCGGGCAACGACCGGGAGCGGAAGCTTCCCACGAGGACTGCAGCATTGCCAACCACTCAACGATCTCCGTCAACCCATAACGCTCAAATGGCCAATGCGGAAACGGCTCGAATTCTTCCCAAACCAAAGCAAACCAAGCAAAATGGCTGCTGAACTCTTCAGGTTGATACGTCGATAATTTCTCAATGCGAGAACTGCTATTTTCTCCATTTCAATCCGGTGTTGGTCCATTCTTGTAGATACCAGATCCGTGGCAACATTTTTAGCTAACGACATCTCCGTGCTTGATTTACTATTTTCAATGGATTTAAATAAGGACCCTTCTTATAAGGACTTATAAGGACTATAATAAATAAGGACTTCTCAGATTGCGTAAGCACCGTGAATACCAAGACCATGCCAAAAGGTTTTCGATTCAGCCTCCAACATTTCCAGATATCTCTACAGAAAACGATGCTGCTGCACGTCTCCTTGTTAACCCGATGTGAACGGCCTCGCTCAGGGAACAGACAGCATGAGGTTCGGCTTGCTTTGGTGTTGGCGATTGACAATACATCTAGACAGGCTTCCACACAGTGCATGTTACGAGCCGTGGTATTCTCGGACGACCCGGATACGACCTGTCCGGCTGCGGCACCCTCTGATCTCGTCTGACAGCTCGCCATGTGACTTGCAGTTGACGGCACCTCCCTACTGAAAGCCAGCCACGACGAAGCGGTGAACGTGTTGAAGAACACGGGAGCCACTGTGAGGCTAGTCATCAAACACTATCAAGTGGCCACGCAGTTCCTGAAGAGAAGCAGTGAGTGCAGGTGTCAAGGTGTCTTACGGGACGAATGAGACGAGGACTTAGTGCCATGGATATAATTACTGGACTATTGTCCTCGTTGTGTGTGTTAGTATGTATAGATACAACGTTTCGGCCAGATAATTCTCCGGCCGTCGTCTGGTGTTATTGGGTCCTGAGAATGACCGGATGGTGGAGGACCGGATGTGTGCTGGGTCTCAACCATGTATGCGTCACACCACGAATCCTCTCCTTGAAATGGAGGCATGACATAGGTCTGGAGGATGATAGTTCGAGCAATTTTACCGTCCGAACGTCTGTCGCACGTTTGCCATCAACTTCGGGACGTTTGGTCTCACTTATAATATCTAGAAACAAAATTATGCGTGGTTTGATTGGCGCAGTTTACAGATTTGATTAGCACGGGCTTATACCGTGCTTTCGCTGACTGCAAAGTTGGGTACAAGAAATGTGAAAGCTCTGAGTTAAGTTGTACAGCACCCATATTGCTAGAGCAATAATTAAAATGACTTTTTGTCCGTCTTTCGTCTTTCGCATTGATTCGTATTTCCTAGCCTGTGGTGGTTTGGGGGTTAGTCTCGCGCGAATCAATGCGACCAATTGCTTTACTCAGCATCATTTGGCTCAGACCAGCATGACGCAGCCCGCGTTAACTCGGGGTTCATTGGTGCCCGACCTTGCCCGATGCAGACTTGAACCGGCGCACGTCGGATTCGTCGATCACGACGTACTTGAAGGCCGACGACGGCTGGAGAACACCAACAACGCCCGACAGCAAGTCACTCAACGGGTTCGAGCTGGACGACAACCTTAACTCGCCCAAGTGGAAAACAGTCGTGCAGAGTAAGTAGCCAGCGCCGAGTCTGACCCCTGTAGTCAGAGACAAAGTTCTCTGCCCGACACTGGTCAGGGTGCACCTGCTTCGATCAGTGGAGCGACTTGGGATTCGATGTCCCGTTAACCGAGATCGGTGTGTGCATGTGAGGGTAGCGACCAAACGCATTGGCCAGGTATCGTCCTGCTACGTCACTAACTTCGAGGAATGGCGTTCGCCCTCTGATACGACACAGCACTCATAACGTGGCGTCCGGGTATTGGTGTGCGAGCTGAGATGGCTTCGCCGCCGTCCCACGCCTCTGGAGAATCCGAGAACAGTCTTGAGGACAACCAATGCGAGCACCGCCCCCACGCCGCCAAGGTGTATGCAGGCATATTCGGGCACCGACGCGAGCCAGTATGGTCCCGCCGCTCGGACCCCGCAGGTCCGGTGACATGTCAAGTTCACACGGCCAGCGAGCATTGGTGTGTTTGACGGCCGTTCGGTCTGACGTGGTGCTTGGACACGGACATGCGCTTAAGCCCCGTGTTTCCCGCGATAGCACACCCAGCAAATTTCGATAACGGCAACGTTCGCCGGCTTCCATTAGCGTATCGTCTCCCGTTGGGCAGACCGCGCCAAGTGTTTATCGTTCTTCCGCGATGTGCGGAACTCCGTGGACGGAACTCGGACACTTACTTCCCATGAATTAAGGTGGCGGCGACTGCGGCTCTCAGCTGCTGCAGCGCGCCTCCGTGACGTCACAGGCGGCCAGGACCACGCGAACGGTGTGAAGCGGCGCCACGGGTAATGGCCGCGTCGCGTGTCCGAGCAGCCTCGCCCGCCGCCCTCAGAAGGGAGGGGGAGGGGGGGGGGGGGGCGGGCGTTCAGCCCCGGTACCGCCGGTCACCGGGTGTGTCGCGTCAGACGGCCGCCTGGCGCGACTGGACTCCGGTTATCAGGGCTGGGGTAAGCCATCACGCGCACGTGAAACCCATCTGACTCACTTCTCATCCCCTGTGTGGGGGCGGGGAACTATCGCCCAGAGAGAAACCGCTCTCGTCTAGCCGAGTTTCGGCGCCTGGCCTGATTAAAATTCCCCGACGTCGATGCAGATAGCAGCACCTCAGCTCCGACCGGCGCGGCGGTCAGCGCTGGCCGGTCGGCCCCCGCCCCTCTCCGATCAGCTCTGTGGCGTCTTGCCGGCATTCAGCGGTGCCCGGACTCGGCATTTGGCGTCGCCGGCCAGCCGCCGCGGCCGTAACTGGCAATCGGCCGGACGTCCGAGCGCACTGTGCCGTCCGAAATTGGAGCGGAGGAAAGAGCTGCCGTCGTCGGCGCGAGCTAATGCGACGTCCCAGCGCTGCTGCGGCGGCGCGCCGACGCCAGGCAGGGCAGTCCTCGCCCAGCGGCTGGCGTTGTATGATGATGGTTGGGCACCGGTGATGTGTGATCTTGCAGGAAACCAGATGGATCGACCGGCACGGTACTTAGCTTTGTTTAGAATATATCTTTTTTTCTTTTGGAGGCTCTGCCGAGCTTTGGTGACTCTGTTCGTTTATGCAAATTGTTGTGCAGTTAATTATATCTGATTCCGCCACCGCATCTAGTCAATTCGTTTCGGTTGATGTCCCCGGTCCGTGCGATGCACCAACGATCGGTGTCGGCTTCCCAGCCCCTCCCTAAGTGTCATGGAGTCCCAGCCGGCTGTCTCACCATCCGCCATCGATCTCGCTTCCTTCTGGTCATCGATTGCCAGACCGACTAATTTAATGGCCAATTCCCCAGCCTTCTATACCGGGCCGACCACCAGCCGAGTTCCACGCCCAGTCAGTCTACCCCGGCTAAGCTTCTGTGATCCGTGACCATCCC